GAGGAAAATGTCCCCTTTCAGATGCAACCACGATTTCAAGGTTTGGTCCATTGTAAGTCGTTTTAGGATCAAAAATACAAAGTCAACTTTACGCGGGAATGGACCCTGTAACGTGTAAATGAAAGCACAAATGCAAAAAATATAAGGAGTATGTCAGGACTTCTGGCCTTCTTCTGCGTATAATTCAATAACTACAGCAGATATAGAAATGAAACTAACATCAATAGATAGAGAAACATTTCCCCTTTTAGATGAAACCAGGATTGCAAGGTTTGGTCCATTGTAAGTCGTTTCAGGATCAAAAATACGAAGTCAACTTTATGCGGGAATGGACCCTGTAACGTGGAAATGAAAGCACAAATGCAAAAAATACTAAGGAGTAGGTCAAGACTTCTTGCCTTCTTCCGCGGATAATTCAATAACTACAGCAAATATAGAAATAAAACTTACATTTGTAGATAGAGAAACATGTCCCCTTTCAGATGCCACCGGGAATGCTAGATTTGGTCCATTCTACGTCGTTTTAGGGTCAAAAATACGAAGTCAACTTTACGCGGGAAGGGACCCTGTAACGTGGAAATGAAAGCACATATGCAAAAAATATAAGGAGTAGGTCAAGACTTCTCGCCTTCTTCCGAGGATAATTCAATAACTACAGCAGATATAGAAATGAAACGTACATCAGTAGATAGAAAAACATGTTCCCTTTCGGATAAAACCAAGATTTTAAGGTTTAGTCTTTTGAAAGTCATTTTAGGATCAAAAATACGAAGTCAACTTTATGCGCGAATGGACCCTGTAACGTGTAAATGAAAGCACAAATGCAAAAAATACTAAGGAGTAGGTCAAGACTTCTTGCCTTCTTCCGAGGATAATTCAATAACTACAGCAAATATAGAAATGAAACTTACATCTCTAGATAGAGGAACATGTTTCCTTTCAGATGCCACCACGATTACCAGATTTGGTCCATTGTTAGTCGTTTTAGGGTCAAAAATACGAAGTCAACTTTACGCGGGAAGGGACCCTGTAACGTGTAAATGAAAGCACAAAGGCAAAAAATATTAAGGAGTAGGTCAAGACTTCTTGCCCTCTTCCGCGGATAATTCAATAACTACAGCAAATATAGAAATGAAACGTACATCAGTAGATAGAGGAACATGTTCCCTTTCAGATGCAACCACGATTACCAGATTTGGTCCATTGTAAGTCGTTTTAGGATCAAAAATACAATGTCAACTTTACGCGGGAATGGACCCTGTAACGTGTAAATGAAAGCACAAATGCAAAAAATATAAGGAGTAAGTCAGGACTTCTGGCCTTCTTCCGAGGATAATTCAATAACTACAGCAAATACAGAAATGAAACTTACATCAGTAGATAGAGGGTCATGTCCCCTTTCAGATGCCACCGGGATTGCCAGAATTGGACCATCTTCAGTCGTTTTAGGGTTGAAAGTACGAAGCCAACGTTACGTGGGAAGAAACCATATAACGTGTAAGTCAAAGCACAAATGCAAAAAATACAAGGAGTAGGTCAACACTTCCTGCCTTCTTCGGCGGATAATTCAATAACTACAGCAAATATAGAAATGAAACTTACATCTCTAGATAGAAGAACATGTTCCCTTTCCGATGCCAACACGATTACCAGATTTGCTCCATTGTTAGTCGTTTTAGGGTCGAAAATACGAAGTCAACTTTACGCGGGAAGGGACCCTGTAACGTGTAAATGAAAGCACAAAGGCAAAAAATATTAAGTCGAAGGTCAAGACTTCTTCCCCTCTTGTGCGGATAATTCAATAACTACAGCAGATATAGAAATGAAACGTACATCATTAGATAGAGAAACATGTTCCCTTTCAGATGCAACCAAGATTTCAAGGTTTGGTCCATTGTAGGTCGTTTTAGGATCAAAAATACAAAGTTAACTTTACGCAGGAAGGGACCCTGTAACGTGTAAATGAAAGCACAAATGC